CCCCCCCCCCCCCCCCCCCCCCCCCCCCCCCCCCCCCCCCCCCCCCCCCCCCCCCCCCCCCCCCCATTAAAAATGAAAGGATCGGAGTAAATGAATATTGGCATTAAATATTTCATTCATAGATTTATTTTCTTCGCATAGATTAACGAGTGGGAGGAAAACATAAGTAGCCTTCGTGCTGATATCATATATTGTATTTTCACATGTTCAAGTCTATTATTTCAGGTGTTATATTTTCCAGTGTACCAGAACAAAATTTCTGTTTCGATTGAAATAGATTATAACGTACCTGTTTTGTTTACCAATGGACGGTGAATCATTGCTTGAAGTAATCAAACTAGTTGATTCCATTGATGTCTGTTTGACTCGACTAATGGAATCTAATTGTTCAAGAAATAAAATAGTAACAATTAATTGTTTCTTTTCTTGAATATCAATTACCATTGATTATTGTTGATGGACTAATTAGATCATTACGATCAAGTAATGATGCAATTCGATTCCAACGTTGTTCACGTTCTTCATATTCATCATGAACCTCTGCCAATCGTTCTCTACATAAAATAAAATTTCATTGCAAAATAAGAAACAACACAAACAAATATCAGTCACTAACTTGGCTGCGTTAATTAATTCACTAATATTATCCATACAACCTGTATGAGCAATACGTACAGCACCAAAGAAACCTTTTTGCATTTTTGAAATTTTATTCATCTAATCATCTTAACATTTAATTCATTGAAATGTTTTGAATAAATCTCTACCTGATCTTTAGCAGTTAGCATTGCAGTTTCAGCTGATTTACGTTTTTGTTCAAAAGCTGTTTCTTCAATATGATAGGTACGTTTAAGTAAATCAATTAATTCAGGTGGTGCTTCATATGATTGATGACGAGCATGTTCTTCTGCTTTACGTAAAGCTATACGTAACTATTTAAAAAATAATAAATTTAAATGAGAAAAGTTTTGTTGTTGACATGTATAGATCAAATACTTGTTCAATTTCTTGAACAGCTAAACGAAGTTGTTTATCATTATCAACTGTTGTGTCACGACGTTTTCGATATTTTTCAGCTTCTTCCTACGCAGAAACAAAGAGGATGAATTAGAACAATATATTAAAATGAAAATTAACCCACGTGAAATATTTAAAGTTAAATTAATAATAAAACTAGTGGAAATATCTTTTGACACTTTATCAAAAGATCTTCACAAGTAAATTATTCATTAAATAACATTTACTTTTTCTCTGAATTAAGTAAAAATATTTACTATTTACTTTAGTTCGTTGTACTTCAAGAAACCAAGAATTTAACAGTCCTCGATCCACTTTTGATTTATCTTGTAATTCATTCTCCATAGTTTTCATTCTATATCAATTGAAAATGATTTTTATTAAGAAGAATTTTCACTGTATCCTTACTTTCCAGTTACAGCAATTAAATCACATCCAGCTTTTTGTAATGATTCAAGTTCTCGTAACATCATATTCATACTTTCTTGTGTTTTACGATGCCGAATAAAAGCATATAGACAGGCACCAATCGATACTAATAATGCTGATATTAAAATTATATCTTTAATATAACTATGTGTTCCTAAATTAGTCAACTGTGCGTTTTAGATAGAAATACTACACAAATAGATCACATACGTTGTGGTGGACCAAATAAAACTACATCTGTAGCTTTAATAATTAAACGTCGTTTATGTCTTGGATCACGTATTTGCATGATTGTTGAAATATATTGCTTGTCGTTTGTTGCTAATCTACAAAAACAAAAACTAATAATTAATAAAAGAAAAAGAAAGTCAACCTTGGAATCATTCGACCATCAATTTGATTTCGACGAAAATATTCAACATAAGCTGATAAATGAACATGATTAACAACCCAACGAATGACTTCATCATTCGTCCAGTTATAAACTTCAGAAAGAAACAAAATATTTTATTTGTTGTGTTTTTTCAAGAATACAAACCTGGATTATTTTTCCATTGTGTCCATAAATCATCAAATGTTATTTGTAAATCAGCATTTTGAAAACGACGATGTCGTATTGAATCAGTTTTGGATTCTAATTCTTCATGAATGAACTAATAAAAACGTTATCGTCTTTAAACAATATATTATGTGATAAAAACAAAAGCATATTTTACATCACGACTTTCAGATGCTTCAATCAGTCCATCTTTATCATCATCCATTTGTTCATGTATTGTTTTAATGGCTTGACGGCCAAGTCGTTCTTTATCAGCATCCGTACATAAATTAAATACACCAGTACAATCTTTAAAATAATCAAAAAACATTTAACATTAGAATACTAAAACAAAACAAAACAAAACAAAAAAGAATACTAATAACCTGGATCAGGAATATTGTAAGCAACACTGTTATTATTATTATTTTTTTTATTCGATGTACCAGATGCGAATAAATTGATAATTAGAATAAAATAGAAAATAAATTGGTTCATTTGACTATATCAATCTGAAATGTGTAAAAGTGTGTATTCTACTTTTTTCTTTTCTTTAAGAAGCACGACGATTAGCATCATTGATTTGATGATATATGTCTTAACTTGATAAGAAAAGAATTACAGGTGAAACTGCATTAAATGTCAATTCATAAAAGGACAATCAAAAAAATATAAGAATCACTAGAAAGAAAAAGAAATAGTTTTTTTTTTGCTTTTTATCGGTCTATGAATGTTACAAGAGTCCTGAATCAATATCGATAGAAAGAGCACCTCGTTTTCATATTTTTATATTCTTCCAATGTTAGTATAATAATAAATATGCCAAAATGATAGACGATTTTCAATAGAATAAAATAGAAAAGAAAAATATTAATAGGAGTAATTAAGACTGCTATAAATATCTTGATTGAAAAAAATGATTATAAAAATTCCGTCATAGAGAATAGTTTCCGTTAGACGTAAACCTGTATAGATAGCAAAAATATTTTTATTATTGTTTTGACCATTTTTTTATTTTCTAAGCTCATTTTCTATGAGAATAACGTGAGAGAAAAACAGTACGTAGAGAGAACGACGAATCAATAGAATAGATACTTGTAGTTACCAGCTGATGCTGCCTATTACCTTTCATGCGTAGCTCGCATTTTTTATAAACACATATAATAAATTTTCCTATCTTCTATAGATGTAACTGAATACCATACGCACTTACTTCTTGTAAGAAAAAAAACAGAGATAATTACGTACGCCGAACAATTGTAAACTCTACATATACAAATGTAAATTATCATAAATCAAATTTAAAGAAAAGTATTAACCAACAAACATATCAATCCAATGTCATAATATAATGGTTAAATAAATGACTATTTGAAAATACAATATGGTATTTCTTGTGTAACCGCACTAGTAGAAGTAATGATTGATTGATTGATTTTCCTTATTCACATAGAGAATAGAATGAATAGCGTGAGAATATTCTATGATTCATCGGCTTATTATCAGTTGACAATGACGATCCAATGAAATCGATTTTTCGGTGAAATTTATTATTGGATGATTAGTAGAGCCTCTGACAATCTATATTGTTTTTTGAGAGTATCCATCTTTATTTTCAAAGCAAACTTTTTTTTATTGTATTTCGTTCAAGTAGATTATCTCAAAAAGAAAAAATGTCACTCTACGATGATGAAATACTTGAACCAACGAAAGACGGTGGTACAAAAGGTTAATAAAAAATATTGAAAAAAACACAATATTTTTCTTTATCTTTATCTTTATCTATTTCTATTCATTTTAATTCTCATTAGTTGGAGCTTGGTCTGATTCAATTAAATTACTTCAAGGGCCTATTCATGCTAAAAAATTTCATCAACAACAGCAACAACTTAAAGTAAACGATACTGTTGCAATCATTATTTTTGTTTTGTGTATATTAATCATCGAAAATTTTTAGAAAGATCTAACAAAAACTGTAGTTGGACCTGTAGCTGATCTACGTAAAAAACGAGCACCGCCATTACCAAGGCATACAAATGCTGAAGTTACATTTAATAGTATTACTGGAAAGGTTAGGATTTTTACTTCGAGAAATTTTTGATCATTATCTCAATTTTATCTAAGATGGAACTACGTGATAGCGCTTCTCAACTACAAGATACAAATGGACCATCACCTTCAGTCACAGCATTAATTCAAAATATAACATCAAATATATCTGTATTTGGTTATACAGATGAATATGATCCATTGAGACCAAATGATTATGAAAAAATAAAAGAACAACGTAAACGTGAACAAACTCGACGTGATCGTGATTTAGAGCGTCAACGTCGTAATGATGATGAACCAAAAGGATTATATGACGAAGATTATGAAACTGATGATAAGGATGATTATAATCGAGAATCAAATGATCGAGTAACACGAAAAGGAAATGTTTTTGCACCGCCTTCATCATTAATTGAAGAAGATAAACGAGCTAGCAGTAGTACCCAAAATGAATCAGGTAGATTTAAAAAAGAAATCGATGTCTGTTGAAATTACAAAATACTACATTTTTCTCATAGATACAAAAGATGATTATGCATCATTACCAGTATGGAATTCAGATGAACCTATTGAAGATATGGACACTGAAAGTTCAGGACCAAATCTTAGTTTTGGATCAACCAAAGGGTATTTTATCGTTTATTTATTGATTTTTACTATCTAAAATAGTAAAAAGTTTCAGAATAAAATTTAAATAATTCAAATTCAAAAAACTACTAGATTAATTCAAATTTTTTTGATACAAAATATTTCACAGTACACAGTATATATGAAATCTAGTTAAAATCTTTCTTGTGATCAGTACGTGGTTGGTAATATAAAATGTTAAAGACTTTTCTTAATTCTATAATTCAAATAGAATAAATGGCTAGCGCTTATTAATAAGCATTGCTTTATCAAAAGATCAGTAGTTGTACTTAGAGATGAGTGATGTTATTTAGTATTTGTTAATCATTGAACAAAATCTACATAGTTTCCAAGTGATTAGAATTAAATATGATCGGTACTAATTGATTAACAACAAGAGAGCAGACACTCGTTTCCATGCTAGAAATCTTTGAATATTACAATAAATTATTATAGTGTCTTTTAAAGAGCACTGGTAAACTGAAAATATGGTTAGAAACGATGAGAATCATATCTAGATCACAGAGCTATTTTGTACTAAAATGACGCACATTGTTGTGATTTCTATTAATTTGCGATAAACAGATACACTTGATTTTTAATGATAGAAATCAGTTCGTTCGGCTTGATTATTAAACAAACTGAAATCAACTCATGAGTATCCTAAAATATCAAGAGTTTGGCAATGAAGTGATATTGAGATATGAGAAAATCAATTTAAGTTTTACTCTTAGAAATTGTGACTACGAGAATACTTTTCCTTAACCCATAAGTAAGCATTTTATAGTTTGAAGCAGACTGTCTGATGAATCATTCTTCACAGGAGTTCAAATAGAAATATTTAAGACTAGAATCGGAATAGAAATGGCTTAATACTTTAAATCGATAGATATTAGACTAAGTATTGGATCTTTAATTTTGTTTTGATGATACATCTCAATAGCTAATAAATAGAGTAGACAATCATCATGTTTATTTTGTGTTTCTGATCTGAAATATCAACTCAAATGATAACGATCAATGTTCTATTTTCAGTGCTGCTGCTGTTGCTAAAATGATGGCAAAAATGGGTTATCGAGAAGGTCAAGGTCTTGGTAAATCTCAGCAAGGTATGAGTTCAGCATTAATTGTTGAGAAAACTAGTAAACGTGGTGGAAAAATTCTACATGAAAAAGAATTATCATCGAAAGGTAAGCAATAAATTAAATCGTAAAAATTGATCATCTATTTTATTTCAATATATTTTAGATTCAATTTTATTTCCACCACCATTAATACCACCACCTCCTCCTCCTCTTTCTCTGCCAATGATGGTATCTCCGTCTGTTATGGCCCCGAAAGGTGATTCCGGTATAAATATAGCTGTTGAATTAAAAGGAGCAACAAAAGTCATCTTACTGAAAGTATTTAAATAACTTAAAAACAACATCAGATCTATTACATATTTCTCTTTTAAGAATATGGTTGGGCCTGGTGAAGTTGATGATTTACTTGATAGTAAATCTTTTTTTAGATTTCATTTCAAAGAAATACAAGCCTGTTAATTTTCATATAGGTGAAACAAAAGAAGAATGTCAAAAATATGGTGAAGTCGAAAAATGTCTAATCTATGAAGTATGTTTAAAAAAAAGAAGTTTTATAACTATTTATTATGAATTTTAAATTATAACAGATTCCTGATGTACCCGAAGATGAAGCTGTTCGAATATTTGTTGAATTTAAACGAGTTGAATCTGCTATTAAAGGTACGTCGCCTTATATCTATGTAGTTGAATTGTTTCTTTCGATCGGAATTCTCTGTTACCGGGTTCGAATCCTCGTTGAGGAATCTCTTTGCTATGATGATTTAAATGATAGGTATGATACAAAAATAAGTGATTCCATATCATAGAGCCAAAACTAATTATCTGAGCAAAGTTATTTATTAATTTATTATTTTATAAATTTAGCTGTTGTCGATATGAACGGAAGATACTTTGGTGGACGTGTTGTCAAAGCAAAATTCTACAATGTAGACAAATTTCGTCGATTTGATTTGGCTGATGATTCTTGACAAGAAACATTTTATTTGCCTCAAATGCTTTATGTCTTGTACATTTTATGTGTTGACTAAAAAGAAAACTGAGAATACAAACGTTTGAGGACCATTGTTTTCTTTCTTTCTTCCAGATTATGTCTGACGACAATAAACAAGCATTTAATCTTGAAGATGATTCGGATTTGAATGGTGATGATAATGAAGTATTTCATTCCGACGAAGAAAATAACAAGAAAAATCAAGATAATCAATGGATTGATGAATTACGTTTAGCACTTAAAGGTGGATGTGATTTAGGATCGATACGATCTATTGGAAAATGCCGCCCATTAACGGATGATTTACGTTTATCAGTTTGGAAAGTAAGAAAATAAAACTGAACTTTTTAAATGGAATTTCAAGTAAATCTTTATTACATGAATGAAATTATTACGGAAGGATTTTTCGAAAGAAATAGTATAAACCTAGTTTGAGAGGATCGCTACTTAGTTCTGTGATGATTTGATGTTCAACTGAATGTTCGATAAGCCCATGTAATCGCCCAAGGTGATCGAAATATCACTAAAAAACTTTATAAGTACACCGATGCACTCGTGCTTAACTGCCAAAAGATTTTCTATCCTAGTGTATTTAAAAGATTTCCGTGCAGAATACATATTTAAAACAATATTTTGGATATGATTTAAGTTTTTTCCATAATCGAAATAATGAAAAAACTTGTTGATCTTACATTTCTAATCCGTATTACACATCCGTACTTTATTGATGATTGAAAAAGGTATGATCATTTTTTCCAGACTATTAAAGTTCTAAATAATGGTTTACATTTTCCGTAGTATGAACATTACTTAAATGTTATAATCAATAAGATTTTTTTATTCATAATATATATTCTTTTCTTTTTTAGACTTGCCTTAATATCAATGATATCAATGAATATGATTATGTTGATAGTGATGTATTTGATTTACCGGAACAGAATCTAATACGTGAAGACGTTTTACGTTTAGTGCGTAGGTGTAAAATAAATCAAATTATTTAATAAATTTTATATTTTTAATATTGCAGGTTCCCTTAAAATAAATGAAGATATTGAAGCATCAAGATTGAGTGATATTGAAGCAGTTTTAACATTCTATTGCAAAAAATAGTGAAGAAATTTGCAAAGATTTTTATTATTTAAAAGAAACTAATTCATTTATTTAGTAACGAAAATTATGAAAAAGACAATGGATGGATTGATATGTTAAAACCATTGGTGACGCTCGATTATAAAGATCGAGCTGAACTCTATGCATTATTTGCTAGTATTCGTAATCGATATATTCCTTGGTATGTTATTGTTATTTAGTGTAGACTTGGTGTCAAATAAAATATGTTATTTTTCAGTTTCTGCGAAACTGATGGAATGCCTTTCCATTTATTTCGATTATTATTACTTTATCACGATCCAGAATTATGTAGTTTCTTTGATACTAGAAAAATTACACCCGATTTATATGCACATATTTGGGTATTATTCAGACAATTTTTGTTCTGTGTAGCTTGCTTTCTTTTATTATCTAGGTTCGAAGTTTATATGCTGGAACATGTTCATCAGATGTAACACGTCATCTATGGGATGGTTATTTTCAGCATGCAGATCAATTTTTTATTTTTTTTCTTGCTCTAGTATTGCTTATGTTTGTGAAGTAAGAAATGAATTTATTTCTATAGGAAATTTTTGTAGACAAATTATAGAGAACAATTGTTCGAAATGATTGATAAAGAAAAAGATGAAGTCATCAGTAAATATTTTTATATAGATTCATTGGGAAGGAATTTTATTCATCTATTCTATTAGATTTGATATCTAAAGCACCAGCGAATTTAACTACTGATGATCTTGAAGATTTCTGTTCATTAGCAAATCACTATGCATCCAATACACCACAATCATTTAGAAAAGTGAACGAGACAAATGACAACGATGGCTAAATAAAGAATTAACCTGTTGTTTTTTGTTTTACTTTAGGAATTTTGTTCATGTTTATTCGATGAAACAGACCGTACAACTTCTCAAAAAGCCTATTCAGTTCAACAGGCATTATGTTTACCTGTTTCAGCTAAAGAATTATTACAAGCAAATCAATTAGGCGGAGTATGTAATTATGCAGAAGATTTATTTTTCTTATTGAATCAAATACTTGTTTGTAGAAAGAAGGTGTCAAATATTTTATTGTCGATTGTCGACCAGCCGAACAATATAATTCGAAACATCTTTATACAGCATTTCATCTTGATGCGAATCTTGTAAAATAAACATTCATTTTTTTATTATTTAGAGAAAAAAACATTATTTTTGTTTGCACAGCTACTTGAAGATCCAAAAGAATTTGGTGGAACTGTTGATGCTCTTCGTGCTACACAAAAACATTCAATTGAGGCTGGTAGGATTCATATTGACATGAAGCTATTTTGAAAAATAGACTATCTGTATAGAGAAAGTTCAGCTATTGGATAGTTAAAAATATTCAGATTTCTTATTCTACTAGACGAATGAAGTCAGCCAAGTGATAGATCAATTTTGAAATAAGTTATAGTCAATTAGCTAGATTTTATCACACAGAGATCATTAGATCATTAAGTTATCTTCTAAGTTGTGTAGAGATGCATGAAATTAGAAATAACAAATTTAGTTATATATTCTACGATGCTAAATAAACTATCTATTAAATCTTTATTTCAAGAGAAATGCCGAAAAGCATTACTCAATTATCGGCTAACTAACTTAAAAACAAACCTCGAAGAATTCTGTATATCGAAAACTAAAGAAGTTTGATTTCGTGCATATCTAATCTGAACAAATAGATACTTTAAAAATGAAACCACAATTAGATAATTGATCAATAAAGTTTGAGCGTTTTTCCTTCCAATATCTTTTGATTTAATTAAAATAAATTGTTTATACTCTTTATTCAGACTAGTACACGTTTTTAAACATACAGAAATATCTACGTAGTTATTTTTGTTTTTATTTACGTTTGATTAGGAGCAACAGCGGGCGGTGATCATTTATGTTTTATGGGTTCTGGTCGTGATGAAGAAGACAAATATGTTCGCATGGTTGTTGCTTATTTTCTTCGACGAAACATAAAATATATTAGCATTGCTTCTGGTGGTTATCGAGGTACGTTCAAATAATGATGCTTGCTTTTTTTATCATATTGAATCTGCATAGTTCTTGCTAAAGCAATTGAAGATCCATCTATGATAACTAAAGCTAAATCAAATACAGATAAAATTAAAAAACACGAAGAAACATCTATTGGATTCGCAATCAAACAGAATATAGCAGAAAAATTGCCTGTTATCAATACACAAGTAAAATTCAAAGAAAAAAATTAATGAAAACTTTTATTTTTTGTTCATTAGACAACTGCACTTTTCAGTATGATTTCAAGTGCTGTTAAAACTAAATCGATGGAAGTAAGAGATAAAGTTAAAGATTATATAACTCACAATTCATCAAGCGAATCAGCTAATTCTACAGCTAGGTTAATGATTGAATATGATATTTTTTTTTCTTTATTGTTTATCTTTTTCTTTTTGAACCATAGCCATGTTAGTAAAGAAGATAAAGTTGGCAAGCTTTATCGACAACCAAACCAAGCATCTGTTTTTTCACTGGATGATGATCAGGAACAAGAAGATGGTAAGAATATATGGCACAATTGAATTTTTTAACTTTGCATTTCCTAGAAAAAACATTATCGAAACAACAGGATGCTCCTGAACTTGTTGATGTTGAATCATGGTTTCTTCGTAGTGATATGTTATATAAATATGAATGTGAACACATTGATGAACATAATCGAACACATCCAAGGTGAATATTGAAATGATTTAACTAACACAAAGAAAGGCTCTTTGACATTAACGAAAAATAAGCATAGATACAGTTTAAAAGAATGCACATAATAAAGATTTTCACTTAAAAAATACACAGTTAAAATAGTAGAAACGCACTTTATTGATGTAGTTAAAATAAGAGGAGTAAACCAATGAATTGATTAACGGTAATGTAAATTTCTCAATGAGTCCGTCTTATTTCAGTCTGATTAAAACGTTATTCAATTAGTATTTTTTCGATCAGATTATTTAACTTTACACCCATGTTAATTCTAATAATTGTAAAGCCAATTCGTTTCGAATTTTAATAGAAACGTCGCAATTATTTATTATATTTAGGAACAATGCGAGCAGATATAAACAAGAATACTTTTTTCTTTCGATTACTTTATGATATGAAATGCTTCCTAGTAATTGATTTCGTAGTCCAAATATTTTCTATAACTAATACTAGTTGTAGATCTGAACAGCAAATCAGTCTGATCCAGACATGTTGTTGAACAATATCTTATAGTTAAAAAAAAATATCCAACTTTGCAGTTACTGATTCTATAACAAACAAAAATATCGATAGAATCGGTTGCATTACGATCCAGCTGATTAGAGCATAAGTTGCTTTTTTGCCACGACAAAAATTGCAATGATATAATATTAGATTTTAAAAACTTTGATCATGCACTATGCTACTTGTTTCATATTTCAATAATCAAATTCAGTCGCGTCGACTTGATATTTATCAAAAGTCATTATAAGATAAATTATTATTTTGATATTATCAAAGGAAAATTCCCAGTGTCAAAACAATTTTATCATAAAGAAAATCAAATATTCCTGAGACTATCTTAATGTGAACTATTCAATACATATTTTTTATTTATTCAATTGAATGAAACAAAACTTTGACATAACATATTTTATCTATATGTATTTAATTTTAGTCTTCTATTGGTATCATCAACACATTTGTTTATCTTGAGAAAATTACCTGAACATAAAACAATGGCAAATCTTGTATCTCGTCGCCCATTAGAATCCATTACAAAAATAACCAGTAAGAAAAATTTTCCTGAAATCATAACATTTCGTTATGCAACAAATCAAGACGAACAAGAGAAAAAAGTTAAAGCGAAAACAAAACTTTCGATAGACTGCGACAGAGTTTATTTACCTGATGCTGGTGATGCAACAAAAAATATCAAATTATTAATTGTAAAATCATTAAATATGTTTGATAATCCAAATGAAATCGGATCAACTTGAACTTCTTATTTTATAAATTTTGTGAAATTTTTCATCAAACACTAATTTAATTTAACTTATCAATTTGAAAACAACAATCAAATGTTGTCCATTTTATATAATTGTTAACATAAGAGTTCTGCAGAATACTTGTTGCTTTTCAGAAGAACAAAATTTCTGTGCGTTCATTCCTTTTGCAAGTTCATTCAAAAATATTTTTTATCAAAATATATCTCAGTTATCGTTTTCATGCAAATATTAAAAACAGATTAAATTTCTTTACAACGAAAATTTCGTTGCGATATGAAAGTTATTTCATTGAAACACTCCATAAAAATGAATGAATGTACAATGTTTGTTTCATTCGTTATTATTCGGAGTTCAGCTTGTGAATAAATTTGCTTTTTTTTATGAGTATCGTGATAATTCACAATACATTCAACTGAATTATTTCAAAAAATACGTTTCTCTATTGTTCTATAATTTCAGGATATGACATTGATCAAAATTTATAATCAATCAAAGTATAAAACTATATACACTATAGGATGACGATGAGCACTTTTAAATCATAGTTCAACTATAGTAAACAGCATTAGGCTTACAAAAATCTGCCAATAAATATCATCATCTGTGAGTATTCTACTTCGCTTTGGAGTAACATTTTCAGCTCGATAATAGAATTAGACATATTATCAATGTATTTTGTCGAGTTATTATCTTAATTCTTAGCAGTGTTACCAACGAATAATTTATTGGCATCAACAAATGAAATCTGAAGTTGGATGAGCTTCTCTTAGAAGTATTCGAACTCACTATCGAGAAAGTTAATAGAATGCTTCAGCTCTATCTGTAGATATGATCAGCGAATTGAGTCTTCTCCCGTCATCCATTGTAGTTTTTTCTGATTATACTACCAGAAAAATCGTATTATTGGACATGAGAATCATTCTGAAATATTTGAAAGAACATAAATACATACATATTAAATATTTCTCGTGAAAAATCTCATTCTAACAAAGTATAAGACATGAGATTCAACAATTTATATTCGCGTGTTAAAATCAATCTGAATCAATAGATTTCTTAACTCAAACCGAATATAATGTTCAAGATCGTATAATATTTTTTCAAAATCTTTAACTCATACATACAATTCTTTCGTGGTTTTACTGTTAACATATAATTCAATTGAAAAAAAGGAATTCGTTTTCGCAAACAATAAATCTATGAAGTAATAAAATGCAATAATAATAAGTTGATCAAGTATATAATTCACGTATTCTATAATCATAGGTTATACTCGAATCACTATATGATTAAGTCATTTGATCAAACTTCTGAGTTCATTATTCGAAATAAATTTGAGATGAGTGATGAAATCATAGAAATAAAAATTCTTGTTCGAATTTGATTGTGTGATAAAATATTCAATTAAAACTTTTTCTTGATCATCTAACTCTTATAAAAGAAAAAGAAACAAAAATTTGATAAATATAGATTATCTTAACATCAATTCTATTTCGTAATCTATTTTTCTTTATTTTTTGTACGCTATTTTAGACATATCAATAGGAAGAAATCGTATTGAAATAGTCTTCTTTAAAATAGATTACTCATTCAAATTAGTTGTCATTTTTGCATGTAAAAAAAACTGAAATAAAACAAATATCTATAACTGTCTTGTCATATATATATATATATATATATATATATATACGTATATATGTATATGCATTCTTCTCGTACCAACTGAATATGATAAATCGAAGCTGACAAGACCATCCACCGATGAGCGTAAGGAAGCCTAGGTTAATGTTACTTATCATTAGATTGACTCGAAAGAAAAAAGATACGCTTACTACACTCGTTTATGATTTTAAAAAAAATATATATATTGTGAATTGACGATGGGCGTGGACCATTGCCCATTAATGGACGATGTAAGGAAGGAGTTTCTCACCTTCTCATCGAACACGCATTTATCACGGTCCAATGATTAGTTATTTTAACGTTGAATATTGCGTGCAAATATATTCACATCAGTTCACTCTTACGTGTGTGAAGTATCGTCCAGAGAAAAGTACATAGTAAAAATTGTTACACGCGTCATCCGTTCAACTGAACTATCATTCGATCAATAGATAACTGTCATGGCATTACTTGAAGATCCAACAATTCAACGTATTCTTAATGAAGTTAATAAAGCTGCGACTGGTGGAGTGTTTGGTTTCGCTGGGAATTACATAGCTGATTCACCGAAACCGACAACACCAATGCAACCATTAAAAGTTAATAATTTTTACACTCAACAGCAACAAACACCGCTTTTTTATCCAACACCGGAAATGTTTGGCATTGATGATGTATCAAGTTTTGATCAAAATCTTGATTTAAATGGATCAGAATCAATGATACCTATAGCTACTCCAAATAATTTTGATGTCTACAGTTCAGGTTATTACAATTCAGTGCCGCAAAATATTATGTCACCGTATGAAAATTATAAAAACGATATGTTAAATAGTAGCAGTAATAATAATAATAACAATAATAACAATAATAATAATAATAATAATAATAATAATGATAATTCAATGAAACCCATTCGTACAACATCAAGTGTTTCGTCAACAAACAATGATATATTATTATCAGATAGCCATCGTCATCAAGAATATCCAACAGTACCACCAAAATTAGCAGCAGCTGTACCTAATCTGGGTTTAAATTTACGAACATCACCACCATTAGATTCTATGCCTGTTAATGTAAGTGAAACGATTCATGAAGTTATTCCAAATGAGACAACAGATATCGCAACAGCATCCATCGATTTATTAGCTGATAAAGATGATAATAATTCATTACCATCGAATAATAATAATGAAGAAATGGATCCACCGCATATATGTAAAGAAGAATTTTTTAGTTCTTATTTTTTCTAATGTTTAAAATTCATTTTTATACAAATTTTAGCTTCAGCTGGTCGAATTTTTTATGATCCAAACCCTCAAATAATTCAACGTAAAGGTTCAAATTCGGTAACATATAAACAAAATATAATTGTTCGTTTTCTACAACCACCACCAATTCCTAATGCTGGTCCGCTAGTTATCAAAGAAGTCATTTAAAGAAAAGAGTCTTCATCAATCATGCCTACTATTTCTCTCTCTAGATAAGTTCTCAACAACAGCCACCATTGCCACCTCTAGTTATTAAACGTAAAAGAACTGTGCCTGCTTTTATTTCTCTGAGATATATATTCTTTTTCTTTTTCTTTTTCTTTTAGAACGTCCAACACCACCAAAAACTCCACCACCGCTTATTATTCGTGAAAAACCACCACCCCTTCCATCATCCATTGCCACAAAGGTGATAACTCGGTAAATTATCTCTCTCTCCCTATAGATACATTTGTTTATTTATTTTGACAAAAAAAATGCAATGATTCCTTTTATTCTCAAAGTCATTTACCGCCTGAACCAGCTCCACCACGAGCTGTCATTATAGAACGTTTACCACCATTACCACCTAAACCACGGGATATCATTATTGAACGTTGGTTACCATATGAAATAGTGAATCAAAAACGTAAAGTCATTGTTGAACATGTGCAAAAGAATTCGAAAGAATATCCACAACCGAAAAATGTTATCATCACGTAAATTTGATTTAACTGACATGATCATTGTAATTTAGGCGTACTTTCAATTTTTGTTTTGCTATTTTATAGTTATGAACCTGTTTATGCAAAAATTGAACGTCATTTTCAAAAACAAAACGTGGTTCGTGAAGATCCTCAAGCGTATGCAAATCGTTTTGGTGAAAAATTATGCGAATCAGCGGCTGTTATTGAACAAGCACGAGCTGCAGGAGTTCTTGAAGATCTTGTAAATTAATTCGCTATTTTGTTTTTTCAATAGTTGATTTCATATTATTTTCTTTAGGATCCACCCGTATCATTTCTTACATCAACAACAAATAGTGTTGCTATAGGTACAGATTATGAATCAACAATAAAATCTATTGACGATCAGGCACAAAAACCAAGTAATGACAATGAACAACAAGAAGAAAAAGAAGTTACTCAAACACCTATGGAAAATATTCAAGATGATGATGTTTTTGTTGAAGAAAATGTTACACCATTCTATATGAATTCAGGTATTTAACTTAAAATTAAAATACTGATGATCAATTAATTCTTTTTCAGGTGAAAATCTTCAACAAACACTCCATCGTTTAGGCATTGAAATACCAGAAAATATTCTAAATGAACATCAATTTTGAGAGTGAAATATGAATTAAAGCATTTTCTTAGTTCTTCACTTTTTCTTTGTTGTATTTTTCTATAGTTATCGTTTAGTAGAACAGAAAGACTTGTTTTTTCTATATATATATATATATATACCTTTATTATGGTCAATAAAAGGACAACAAAAAGGAACCTGCAAGCGTTTATCTACTGTTCAGATTTTTTAATATCAAGTGCTAAAAGGACGAATATTCAATATTTATACTTATTACAGGTTAAAATTATGAAAGAAAAGCTTGAATTAGAATTCAAATTGCCATAAATATAGCTACAGTCAGTTGATTTATCTGAATAAAATAATCAGTTGATATAGAAGGTATACCACATCTGCAAAAACGCTGAAGTGAAGTCAGCATATTATGGGTGAGTACTATTACAAAAATTCAAACAAATCAACTATTGTTGAATATTTAAATTAAGTTAGAAACAAAGGAAAAAGATTTGAATGAAAAATGTAAAAGAAACCTCATCTAGTTTTACTTGTGAAGATTATGTCTGCTGTGATTGAGCTGTTCTCAAATATTGTTGTTGATGATGGCGAAGTAAGAAAATGTGCAAAATAAAAATTTTCTACGCATAATTGAAACGCTACTTATATAACTCTTTTGGCACGAATTGATTTCATGGGCATAATTCGAACAAATCATTTGATGAAACAAGGGCTGTTGTGCTCGAAAACTTGAATAAGCTTTTACTATTATTTTGTTGAAACAACTTGTATTGACAATTTTAAAGGAAATCTAAGCTCCTGTTATTAATGGGCGTTACTAAACAATTGATTATTACTATCTATGTGCACTTGGATTGAAAATTGCTGCCATGTCAACGTTCTTATCAATATGTAACTAGATATGTTTTCTCTTAAAATAGGAACTAACTTTTCAATGATCGGTCTATTATCAATTTGTTGCATTGGAAAACTGAATAATGTTCAATATTGAATAATAATCGAAGAAATGTATTCGATTAAATTTAAATTAAAAATTCTACACTGCAGATTTTCGCAAGTTTAATTCTGTATTGTAAAAAGAAAACTTTTACATGTAAATATTGTATGTGATTTTTCCACACTACTACTACTAATTGCGGCTGATGAACAATAAATTAATAAGGAAATAAATAAAAATACCTGAAACATACGAAAAGAAAAATTTGTTCAATTAAGTTTTCTTTTCTCTTCACATACTGCATATATAATTTGTCAATGTTCTATATTATTTGTGCCAAGTAAAATGTAAAGCAATATATATGAAATTGGTCTGTTTTACATTCATCCACTCGTTCATCCTAGACAATACTATAACGGTTGATTTTTTTAGGTGCACATCCTTGTACGACGTATTGTTCGATACGATAAATATTTAATCAAAGCATTTCATGTAACCTTTTTTTATCATCTTTTTCGTTTGATGGGCGGTCATTTGTGACATGATTTCAAAATTTTGCTGGTAATAAAAATTCTATAAGATCAAAGTAAATACAAACTACTTGATTCATATAAAATAACTGCCAAAGTTATTGAAACATTGTTGCTTTAAATTTTTTTCTCTACTGTAATCTAAGCCAAAACGAATCAAAATTATGATTTGTGTAGAGAATCTCATTTCCAATACAAATGTCTATGTGCATTCGTATTAATATTGAAACCACTGGAAACAAATCAAAATTATATTGCATCTAATAAGCAGTATTAATCCACTATATATGTTACATTAAAGAGTTATGTATCTTATCAAAATTATTAAACATAAATTAAACAACAAGTGTTAAATTATTGATTGATGCGAGCATAAACAATTGAAATAACCACATGAATATAGTTAGTTTTTCATTTAAATTACGTAGATGATATTTATTTTATAGATAAGTTGACACAAAAGTCTGTTACAAATGCCAGTAATCTTTGAGATGCATCGCATCAATAGAAAAACATTCAGAGTAGATTTTGATTTAAAAACTCTGTTTTTGTATGAAAAATTGATTCTATTTAATATTAGTTGACATGCCATGACGTACACAACACACGTTTAGTTAGTATAAAGTTATAATTTGACTTTGTGTTCCACCTATTTGCACACCGGCTTGCGTACAAATACATATCAAGTTGTCATAGAAAATTTCATGAAATTGATTAATAACTAACTAAATGAAAGTATGCGTGTGACCTAGAAAATAATAAACTTCTAAAACTTATTATTCTATTTATTGAATCAATTGAAAAGACAAGTCACATTTTTTGATAGAATATAACAGATCATATCTAACGCCTTAATCACATTTTTTTCAAATTATGCAATCATATCGATATTTACATTTTGATTGAATCTTATTAAAATAAATCTATGGTATCAAAGTAAAACATTTGACTATAATAATAAAATTTTTTATTTATAGGATCGTCAATCTATAGACTACTGTCTAACTGATGTCTTAAATATAGATGTCGAAGAGTAAAGGTTCATGTTTTCCTTCATCTCGGATTTGAGTCTATTCAATTACGAATATTTTTGGTAAATTTGATACTCTAACAAAGATGGTCGTAAGGAATATCCACAATATACAAAGAATTTTACTATAATCATGATTAGATCTTTGCATTAAAAAGCAAAAAAGTTATCGCTGAAATTCCGGAAATTGTTTTTTTTAATCTCTTAAACATTTCTTTTGTATTTCAAAACGAATGACTATTCAAATGTATCGTCATACTGAAGAAGAGCACTAGGAGAGTCTACTTAGAAAATCTGCCTTCGAATCATTCAGGTTTGACTGGTTGTTAGAACAATACGACTCAATACATTTCAAAGTAGAAAGCTATTTAATGGTACTTTCGTCGAACGAAGTTCTCATTGATATTGGAAACCATTCACTAGGAAGAAATCAATTAGCTCTTCAATAGTATAGAGATACTTCGAATGGACGAAAAAGAAAATATACTTGACCTGGATTTTGTTAGGAAAATAAGCTGTCTGAAAGAGAAGAAAGATTATTATTCTTTTATTTAAATTCTAGAATATACATGCACGAGTACAGAGAAGTTTAGAATTGAATTGAATTATATCCATCAATGTGCTAATTAGTGCATGTCGAAACGAAAGAAATACATTGTAAGACAAAGAAATTAACTATGCACTTTGTGTTTCGATATAGAATATAGTTTATTCAAAGAACAAAAAGCAAACGAAGAGAATGTTTATAGACTGAATCAACTATTTCTATCTACTGTGGAACTTTTGTTACGTTGGTAAATGTCAGAATAGTTAAACTAGACAGATTAATAATTCATTGAATTACATAATGCATATGAATTTATCATAAAATATGAGAGAAAACTAAAACCAAATGATTAAAGCACGAGATAGAAAACATTCGTTCAGTTATATCCTGAATTAAAAAAGAAGAGACGATCATTGAGCAATGATCATTGTAGAAGATTTCAATGTCGCGTGTTTCGATTGTTCATTGACAATACTATTGTTATAATAAAAAAAAAGACAACAGATTCGAATGAAACATTGATGCCTCAATCCATTCTACAATGAGAATACTTGTGAGAAATGTAAAATACTGAACACTAGTGTTTGTTTTGCTCTTGTTTGAAGGAATTAGAAATTTCAGGATTGTTTTTCCTTATATCTATTGTACAAATTTAGAAAAGTTAAACTGATGTTTCGTTTTTTACAAGAATTCTAATGCTTTTAATGAAAAATATTTCTAGTATACTAAACGTGAAAGCACATGTAAAGACTGAGTATGAGAGAAAACGACTTACCTATGTGGCGTGTTTAATTATAATATCAGTGATAGGTATTTACAAATTTGAGCACAAATTATAAATAATTGTAGAGAATACTATCCATCCTAAATCGAATTTATTATCAGAACGAATTCAAATTAATCTAGAAGAAGGTAATCTCTGAATATAATTTACTGAGAAAAAAATATCATTGAGTATGATTGACACTAAAATATAATCTAGGGTAGCTTGAGATTTTGCTGCCAACACAAACCGTTACGATGAATCAGGTAAAGTAAGCAATCGAAAGTATTCTGTTAACTTTTCTAGTATACATGGAGAAAAGAGATTATCTTTTGCATAGAAATATTTCATCTTCAGTAGTATCGAACAATCTATCTGTTAACTTTGAATAATTTGCATTGGAGATTTTGGTCGAAAGAGCTATCAATATCATTTAATTTGTTCTTTGAATCCCATCTATCTGGCAATGCTTACATTATGTTAATGACATTTATTCAAGCGACAACGGAAAAATTCTTTTATTACTCTTCATTAGCTTTTGTTTTATTGAGCAAAAAATAAAAAACTTCTCAAGTGCTAATAGTTCTCTACCAAAATATGTGAGAATGAAAAAGAAAACTTGATTCCAGATTTATATGTTAATTCGATTTGACTAGAATTAAATCAGAACACCACCATCCACTCCTTCCGACACAATAAAGAATGTTTTTTCATTGATTGTTATCTAATATATAAATACATCATACATATAGAATAACGAATATGCATAATAAAAACTTGAATTTTTTCTTTTTTCAAAGATAAAAAAATATGCTCAGATAGAATTAAGAAAAATAAGACATATACAAACATGACAAATGCGACTGTTTACAGAATAAAAAATAAAACATATACATATATATATATATATTAATATACATGTATGATAAAGAAAACGAAAAAGAAAACGAGTCCGTTCGAATTAAGACGATGATGCAGATCTACATGGCGAGAAAAGTATTTTGGCAAATGCTTTCCGAAATTCCATATTGAAAATTGTATAGATAATTGGATTCAAAAATGAATTAATATATCCTAACCATACACATAAAGATAGAATAAAATCATTAACAAGAAATGAACTGGACTTTTTTGATAATTTAACAAAAGTATTAACTATATTATTGAGCACAAAGAATGGTAACCAACAAACAAGAAAGCAAACTAAAAGAAAAAAAATATCTATATCATTTTCTGACATGTCGTAGAATTGTTATAGAAATTTAGTAATGATTTTTCTAATTGTTTTTCAAATACCACGTGAAATATCATTTGAATATCATTTCAAGTTGAACTTAATAATCAGCAATTTCAATATGTAGTTTGTAATCAGTTTTTACGATCTATTCGAATAATAAATGTATTTAAATAAAATCGTATTGATACTTTAAAATTTTAAGGTCGAGCTTTCATGTATAAATTTTTCTAGATAACAAATGCGCCTCTAGATTATACGAAGATGATAAGAATTCTTGATGAATACTAAAAATCGTAGCTTACAGAATAGAGAAATTCTACATGTCACTTGTGTCAGAAAAGATCTTATTATCGATCTGGTGAAGCCTTGTTATCATTTTTCAAATTTGTATCTATGTACATTAATGTTTCTTGATTTAATTTGTAGAAACAAAATTATAATTTAGATCTTATCTACTTACTTAGAACAATAATTAGTGTTTGTGTAGCTTTGCGTTCTTTTTTCATACGTGAATAAGCTTTACGTTTAGCAACTCGAGCATTATTTGTTGATGCTATAACTGTTTCTGGTATTGCTGAATCATCGGAATTCATTTTCGTTTTTAAACGTGTTTTAACACGTTTAGTTGAATAGGGGCAATGATCATGATAATCTGTTTGTGAACTACGATTATTTTTTTTAAAATGAACAATATTTGTTGCATTGTTATTATTTGATGTGAGATTTTCAATGCGATTCTCAGATTCATTTTTATTATTCTCATAGGTTTTTTCATGTTGAACAAATAAGGCAACATCATCACGTTCTTCATCTTCTATTTGTTCATTGGTTAATGATGTTGCATTTATTAAAGAGCATAATCCCGGCGATAAAACAGGTGTAGATAATTTCAGCATTAAACTATTACGTTGAGTTTCCAATGCGTTATAAGTTTTTATCGGTACTGTTTCATTTAAATCAAGAGGTGATGATATTGATACCTGATTGATAATCGATGGTCTCTCTTGATAATAGGATGTTATAAGATGATCAGCATTTGTACGATGCTGTGCTGCAGCAGATTCAATAATAGCCTTTGGCCTCAGTTGTTTACGATTTTTTCTTGCTTGTCTCATAAGAACAAGAAATATACGATAGTAAATGGCAAATATAATAATACATGGAATGAAGAACGAACCCAATGATGAAAAAATTAGAAATTTATTATTGAAAAATGCACATTGTTCACGAACACGCGGATAATCAGTAACATCAGACTTATTCGCACCGCTAAAAGAAAACAACAAAATTTTCCTATCGAAAGAAAATTCTTTCTTCTTATTCTTTCTATTTACCTGACAATAGGAAGAGCAATAAAAAATGAAGTTAACCATACAATAACTATCATTACAGCCACACGTCTAGGATTTTTATGTCGAGCATATTTCAATGGTTTTGTTACTGCTATGTAGCTAAAATTACATTTTCAAAGTTATAAAATTTAATGAGACAGCTTTTATCATTTATGGAAATTCTTTAAGAGCACTATCAGTTATTAGAAACAAAGAAATGATTGTGTGTAGACTGAAGTAGAGACATTTGACAGGCATCCTAAGTCCTCCATCATGATAAGAGATTTCTTTCTTTTCTTTTTATTAATTATATCTTACCGATCAATGGCGATGGCAACCTAAATATCATAAAAGAAAATTCAATTTAGAAAAGAAATTATTTTTCTTTTATATTTTACCAGGTTTAATATTGATGCAGTACACGCCATACAATCAGAAGCAACCCAAAAGTCGCATAGACGGTCAGATAGTTCCCAAATACGATTGAACTAACAAAAAAAAGACATGACATAATCTTTTATGATAAATTTGATCGACGTGAACCGTTTTATTTTTTTGTTTAACTGTCAAGCTAATTGGAAGATTAAGAAAAGAAATGAAAATTACTTTTCAACTAGTATGATTAAATAAATAATTATGAAGAAGCGAGAGAAATAAATATCGACTTCTACAAAAATTTTAAGAAAACGTTCAAGACTAACAAAAATGTATTTTACGTAATAGGATATCGTTACACATTCTCTTTTCCGAACAACTATAGATTCATGCTTATATTGAAATAGACAAACATAACTTGATCTACTGTGCTGAAATTGCGACTAAAAATTCTATATAGAAAAATATCACGCTTGTATGCAGGATTTCCGTCTACGATTGAAATCACCATATGTTCTTTCGATTTAGAAAATATGTCGTACATGTTTATAGTTTACAAGAATAGTCTCAACACAAATGATTTGATCTTATGAGTCATGTCGAATACATGATTTCATTTTAAGATTTTCCTGTTTCATTCATTTTTATCTATGAATTTTGATACGTGCTCATGATACTTATTTCCGCACTGTAGTTAACAAATGTCTATATCCATATATATATATATATATATATATATATATATTTCAATAATAGATAGTTAATAGTTCAGTTATATAATTTCTACTCACTTCAAGATAAATAGCAAATGGCATGACAACAGCCGCTACAGTTATATCCGATATAGCCAATGATACAACGAAATAATTTGTTACAGTATGTAATGATTTTTCTCGATAAACACTAACAACAACGAGTGCATTACCAACAATAGTAAATAAAGGAAAAATTATTAATGTCAATGCCCAATAATTAGCTGAGCTCGTTTCATCGGCCAGTATTGGAGCATTTACTAAAGATGAGATAGGTAAAATTAAATTATTTATATCACTTCCTGTTGTACGATTATGTGGTATTGATTCATAAGTATTTGAATTATAGAGTAAAGATGAGGGAGGTGGAGCGGCAATTAAATGCCAAAAACCAGTGTCGTTGGATAGTTGTTGCATGTTGAAAAATGTATAATAAATAAAAATACAAGTAGAAATAAACAATAAGTAATAGACGTGATGTTGGTGGTGCTGATGATAATTGTAATGCTTCTCGTCAATGAGGATAATAATAAAAATGATGTAAAATATTTCACGTCGATGTTGAGGCTTGATTTCAAATAGAATATATAAAATATTTGTGGGCGTTGTTGAAAAATAAATCGATAGCACGGTGTCAATGATGTTCGTGTTACTCGAAGTTTCAAATGGTCTGTCGAAAGCGTCATCTCCTGACTGATTCTCTCGCCATGACGTAGCATGTTTCATTTTGGGACGATCATCCGTGAGGAGCAAACGCCGTTGTTTCGACGTAGAAATAGAGAAAAACGTAGAATATGCTGTTGAGAAAGAGAGAGAGAGAGGGGGGGAGGGAGGGAGAGAAAGAAAGAAAATAAGAGAAAACGATGATGCTACCGAAAAGAGATCGTCTAATTCCACAGTTATTATTAACGTTCCGGTTGGTTATTATTACTGCTGCTTTTGTTTCAACAATGGTATTGTCATTGTCCTTCTTCGATATGTAAGATTTTAACAAGTAATCTAATCGGCATTGTTACTGATCTAATCAGAAAATATAAAACAAAAGAAAAATATCTCATTAGTTAAAGTATTAGATAAAAATCTATTTCTTTAAAAGAAACTCTTTTACTTAGTTTTTCTTCTTTTTTTTTATTGTTTGCATGAGAACAAACATTAGACTTTTGTTTTTTTAATATTGATGTTTGTGTATGCTTAGTGAAAATAAATGAAGTTAGTATTGTCTACAGTAGATTTTATCATTTAGCAATAGCTTAAAAGAGAAGAAAATGATCAACAACACCATCATATTTTATTTTTATATATTGACTGAATGATTTGCATTGATTATTTACGATTGATATGTAATTGATATTGAAATTTAGTCTGTATACATGAACGATATTTTTTCTTCTTCCTTTTCGTCTTCTTTTTTTCTATATTAACTATTTATACTACTATCGTAGAATAACAAGAAACCCAAAGGAATTGATGTTACATATACAATGAAAAACACAATTATGATAGATAGCTAAATTATCGATCAGAACATTGATCGGTATAGATCTTTCTCTTGGTATCATTAAACGATGGATACTGATATTTTTAGATACATCAACAGTTTTTGTATGAGAAACTATGATTAACGTCTTCTATTGATTTATGATCAATAAAGCGAGAAAATAAAGGTAATTATGCCGAACCGAAACTTGACAGACATAATGACAGGCGGCCAGTAGTCTTATCTTATGAAATAACATTTTCTGTTTTACTCGTTTAACATGGGAAACAACGTTGGAATAGACGTAAATGATGACATTTGTCCTCTCCTTGTGATTTACTAATAGAAGTATATTCTAACGATATGGAAATATTTGTCCAACAATTTACTTTCTCTACAATGAAAGAGAAACTTATTAATTGTAGAAAATCAATGTCATTCGTACATGTCAATTATCTTCTGATTTTAATACGCTATTAGTGTTCTCGGATGAAATATATTCGTTTTTAGAAGTCTTTAAAGATATAAAAACAAGATAAAATACTCAAACAACGTTCGTCTAAAGAAACAAATAGGTTTCTGTCGACAAAACATTGATAACTAGTTTTTATTCTCTTCTTCTTATCTATACGAATGGCAATGACAACAAATATAGATGTAATTATCTACATTTATTTAAATTACCATCAATCCAGCTACACTATATGAAAAGACAACAATTTGAAAAAACTATATATATAGTGATATCGGTGAACTTCTCATGAGAAACTATCTTTTGTATCTTGTTTGAAGGTGAAAAAAGAAGTACTTATCGGATCTACTTACTATCATCAATTCATAGGCAGATGATGGTACTTGGCAATCAAGCATATTGTTTCTATTATCAATATGATAATCATTCTACGGGAAAGAAAATTGGATTGATCTAAGATTTATTCGCCTTGTATAGAAGATATTTTACCTACGTATGATTAGCACATTAGAACAATAAACAAAAATGACCCAATGAAATATAATGCTTGAATACTATACTATAGCAGTTAACATAAGTCAAGTGGCATTCAAATAGTCATTTATGAAAATGTTTAGAATAGTAAATACAAGAATAATACTATTACTTACCTCCGAACATATTTCTTTTTCTTTTCTCTATTGAAAAACTAACAGAAGTTTTTTTTTCTTTCGTTCGCTCGTTGATTTAGTTACTTACTTTATTGCACAAAAGTGCGTGCATCTTTACAAGAAAAAAGGGTACCAGTTAGACCGTACCAACACGCAATAACAATATTCATATAATGGAAGCACTACCAATTGCGGATAGATAGCTATGTTCTTTAATGTTAGCTCTTATCATTTTACCATCTAGGCTAACAACTAAGCAAATACTTGTAAACAAAAAACAAAATGCGTCGTATTTTTTAATAAATGTTCTATTCATAAGTACTTGTGACAACAACTAGTGACATGTAACGGAAAATACTTCGAATTAAGTTTAATAGTATAAGACAGTCACGTAACGAATTGCATGAATTTTTTTCTTCTAACTAAATTAAGATGTTAATCTGACATATCTAACCTTTGTTGTGAAATCCGAAAAAAAAGAAGAGTAATTAGAAAACTATTTTGTATGCTTCAATGCTTTTTTAATAAAATATTAACATTTCCCAAACGATAAAGAGATGAAGAATTTTTATGTCAATAGTTGTTGGAAAGGCGAAAATGAGATTATAATACGATTTGGGTAAATACACCAAGCTAGTAAACATTCTGACAGACGTTTTTCCGAATAAAAGCGCAAGTGATGAAGAAAAAGAGAGAAAGACATGACATAAAGAGATGTCCACAATTCTCGATCGTTTGTATATTATCGATCTCTTGTGATACCCATATTATGAATAAGAGAGTATATTTCAACTATTACAGAAAGAGACTACATGTCTAGAGAAAATAAAACTTGGTGGAACGAATATGATAAACATTTTTCTTATGACTCTGCCAATCATTTTCTGTGTTGATTTGTTTCTAGATATTATGAGTAGGGAATTTGAGAAAACATCTTTTTTCTTTTTTACATTTGTTATTAACTCAACTATAGCTAAATAGAAGATTAACTTCTGAATATGAGAATTTATCGTATAAAAACAGTAACTTTCACTTTCGGATTTACGTTCCACATGAAAAAGTTTGTTCACATACATATAAATAACAGATAAATTATAAAATTATCGAGTGATTCTTAGAGATAGTAAAAATAAAATATTCTTTCGATGTCACATTCAAAGGAAAGCGAGAAAAATATGACAATATTATTGTTAAAAATCAATACTTTTGCTATTTATTTCATATAGTACATCAATAATATACATTACATAAAAACAGGTTAGTTTCAAGTTGAAGATAACATTAAAATCATTTGATACACTTTTTCGCTTTCATTCTTTCTATGTCTGTTACTTTTATCTTTTTTACAATTACAATTAACGATGATAGATCTAATTGTTGCTAAAAAAAATATAATCTTTTAGATAAAAATAGCTAGCCCATAAGTGCACTTCAAATGAAAACTAATTCATCGACAATGAATAATGAAGATACAACTTGTTGCCGTCCATCATGACATTTTTTGATAATGTCAAAGTACTTTGTCGTCATGGCTTTTTCTTTCCTACTCATTTTATTTCTGTTTATCATTTTGCTTACTGTTACACTCAAATTTGGTTCTCTGTCTCTTCCTTTCTCTCTCTTCTTATTTCTCTGTAGCATGTTCTCATATTTTTTTCGATCAGTACTATCAATAAATTTTGATACCACAGGGACATCATTGTCAAATCAAATCTTAAATGATGACAAAGTTAGAAAAAGTCTGTTGAAAATATTCAATGTCTTATTTGTACTAATTTTTCATATTAAAGATTGTTTGCCTAGACATGATCAAATAATTCATAATAAGATAATAACTAAACGAACGAAAAACTTGCTTTGTTTTTGTTCCAAAGAATGGAAGAAACAAAAAGAAGTAAATTTCAATAAAAATAACTCTGTCACATATATTTTCTCGTCGTTCTTATTATGTCCCTGACATTTCCATGTGATTGAGTCATGACAGTTTGTTTCTTTATATAAAGAAATTGTCTGCCGCTTATTTTATTATTTTTTGAAATGTTGAATAATTAACTAGACATTTACGTTTTCTGACTCGCTTACTTTTAAAAACAAAACGCATCATAACATAAATCAAAATTACAATTGATTTTCCTTTTTTTGCGATAGCTAGCCACAATCGGTGGCAGTTACAAAAAAACAAAAATAACACAATCAATTGAACGGAACGTGCGGATTACTCTCGGTTCGTCCCCAATTCGTCCCCTCCGCACTCATTGACTCTCAATTCGTCCCCCAAAAAATTCGTTCTTAGTTGATTGAATCTCAATTCGTCCCCCACAAAATTCGTACTAATTGGTGACTAATTTGATAAACAGATGATTTTCAACAATCAGTTGTTTTATTCAAGAGTTATAAAAGAAACAAGAAAAAAAAGTCATTTAACAAGTTTTGTCTTCAACACGCGTCTGCGTTTAATCGCGAACTGCATATCAGTGATCAATCCACCCTTGTGGTCATTGAGAAGGAGCTCAAGATTCTCGTTAATAGCATCGTTCACCTTCTTTCGTTTGCTCAATTGAGCTCCCAGCTCTTCGGACTTGTGATGCTGATATTCGTGCTCTTCACGCAATAATTCGATAAAGTTGAAGATGTGAATAGGAGCATTTCTCAGAGCATAGAGAATGTCAGTAGTGAAACTAATACATTACTAAGAAAGCACATCATATATATAAATGCAAAGTGCTCTACGCAACAATCAATTTTCTTATGTTTGCTTCTAATTGTTTCTGGACAGGGATGGACGAATTGGGGGGACGAATTGAGAGTCAATTGGTAA